GGTCAACGGTCCAGGTTTGCAGCAGGATTATTGTAACGAAAAAACAAGTAAATGCCCCCTCAGTGATGCCACAGAGTCTTAACCCTGCAACCTCGCCAGCTCATCTGCATAATGAAACTGGTTGCTGTTTTCATACTCAAGCATATCCAGAGCCACCTCACAACTCTCTTTAACTACACGCTCTCCATCTCCACGGTAACGCTGCAGAACAGCCAGACAGTCCTCCTTACCGATGGAGCCCAAAGCCTCTGCAGCCTCGTGCCGGACCATGGGATTTTCCCCAGGGCGCTCCAGGGCTGCAGAGAGGGCTGGAATTGCCGCTGGGTGCTGCATCTGACCCAGCACGTATCCAATCTCATGACGGAACAGAGCACTGGAGCACTGCAGGCCTAGAGATGCAGATGGATATAAGATGTCAAAGACTGGTTCTCTGCTGACACAGTGACCAGGAGCCAAACTGAATCTTAAGTCCTGTTACTAAACAGCTGCTTAAAAAAAATCTGTCTACTAACAGAGAAGAATGGTAGGTGTATGAACGCCAGAATGGCTGGGACATACAGCCCCCGTCATTCCCCTTATACACATTGTGTCTTACCATCTCCCAGAGCCAGGACTGCCTCCTCACTTCCCTGGTTTCGCAGAGCAAACATGGCACGGTAACGTGTGAACAGTGGCAGATTCTCATTCAGCAGATCTGAGCGCAGCTCCGACACACTCCTGCTCGCTGCTGGAGGAGCAGGATCTATAGAGAGGTAGGGGATTTCTTTAGTACTCCCATTTTCCAACTCTTTCTCTGCTCCACTCTGGAGCCACTCCAAGCGATGAACAGCCAACTGACACGTTTCTGCAACCTGTAGATGACAGTACATTCAGATTCATCACTCTTCTTTTGGTCTGGCCCACGTCTCCCCTACGAGGGCCAATAAAACTGGGCCATGTATTTATTATACAAATGGTTTGGCATCGAGTTTCTTGTGTTTTAATTTTGTTTTCTGTCCATGTGGGCAGGTCGTTGGCTCTACCTCAATGACAGGGTCCTGACTGTACTCTTTTAGTAGGTCCAGAACTGAAGGATCACCAATTGCTCCCAGAGCTTCACCTAAAAAGAGAAACAAGGTAAAGTAGTTCATAATGTGTTAAATGACCATGTTAGTAGCTTGGTGAAAGGGGAACTGATCAATGATTAAATCTGATGCTCACAGTATTAGGTGTTCAGAAGAACTTTATGCTGGCAGAATAATTTTAGGTCCTATATCCTACAGGAGTAAAAGTTTCTAATTTTAGGCACATAGTCCTATATCCTACAGGAGTAAAAGTTTTCTCTTCCACTGACACAGAGTGTGGAGCATATTTACCTGCTTCATGTCTAACCATGGGCTCCTGCTGTGTATCTTTGAGAACATCAATCAAAGTCGGGATGGCCTGTTTGTCCTGCATCTGTCCCAGGCAGTAGGCCAGCTCATGTTTCAGCAGCACAGAGTCATCTGTGAAGGCCTTACTAATCCACATGATAGCTTCAGCACCTGACACAAAACACACATGCACACAAACCCTCAGTTTGTAGTCTGCAACCAAAAGATTAGACCAGGGGTGTCAAACATACGGCCAACTCTTAAAACTCTTAAAAATATATAATGAAACTCTACCTCCCAGGTTCCTCAGGGTAAATAAGGCTCTGAACCGGCGGGTCAGGTCTAGTCCTGGGTCCACCAGAACCTCTCCAATTGCTTGCACCTGCTCCAAACTGGCCATACTGCTACACAGAAAGACAAAGTGAAAAAATGACATCAGAATACCAAAAGGTAGGTTATAGAGTAACCATTAGTTACTCTTACGACTAGGTAAGACCCTGCAGTATTTAGGCAAGTATCAAATGTACTTGCACTGTTCAATTCTACTTTATCACTCTCTACAACTGATCCTTACACTCACCGGTGCCTTGTGACACAACAGCACAAATAAAAACCACATATCTTAATGTAAAAGATAAAAATATATTTATTAAAATGTCTTGATTTCACCTTTTTTTAATTGAAAGCGATTTTTGGTTTTGTTAGTCAAGTGAGGTTTTTTTTTTACCATCCACAACTTGGGTTGGGTCCATTCCAGAGGTTTTAACCAGCCACATTTCAAACTTGGGTTGGGTCCATTCCAGAGGTTATAAAAGGCTGGTCGCTAATGCTGTTAGCATTTCTGGACCAACCACATGTCCTCAACCACTCCTACAGCGTTACCGCCTACACTTCATAACAATGACATGACAATAACACTATAGGGAAATTACAACAGAAATACCTACTGACCTTCTGTGAAGACGAGAACAACTCTGAACTATCACAGCTACAGCTACAGCTGCTTCTGCTTCTGCTTCTGCTGTTGCTGTTGCCGTGGAGCCGGAACACGCTGCTGCTGCAGTCTGACAACTTCCGTTTTCTCTTCTTTTTTTGACGTTAACGTTGTCTAGCACAGAAATAAATGATGTTATACCATCATCTACTGGCTGATATCGGGATTACAAAGGTTTCCAAAGAAGACCCCGTTTGCTTCGTTCAAATATTAAAGGTCCCTTAGTGTCACATCTTGCTTTAGTTCAGGATAAAGGAGGTTTTAAAATGTGTGGGACAGATGTGGTTCCATGTTTTTTAGCCTACGAGTGTGTGTAGTTCCTAAAGCCTAAACAAACAAAGTAGGAGTCCACACAAAACTGAACACTTCTTTATATATAAAGGAAAGTCACTCATTTACAACAGTGAACAAGTATAATAAATTAGAAAAAATACATACAATTACATGCATTATGAAAAGGCAAACATATAGTTAGTAAGGGAATGCGGTCAGTCAACAAAGTATATCGGTGCTGCATTCATTCCTGAGACTGGAGAGATTAAGCAGAATAAATAATAAAAAAAAAAAAATTAAAAGAATAACACGAAAGTTCCCCCACCTGTACTCCTAACCAGGAGAGGCGCTGTTGGCAAGCCCACGTCTGTTTGCTCGTGGCGCTGTTTCTCTAACCGTAAAGCTTCCGGTGTCACCTCACAGTAAAAATGAATGTGTGTGTATTTTGGAAGACCTTTTTATGAAATAAAATAGTGGATCTATACACAAAAGGGGTCGTTTTAACGACATTAACTGCAAAGTGACTACGCTGCGATTTTGGTAAACTATGGATCTTCCAACTGCTCCTGAAGGTAGGCGTTTTTGCAACAGCGGTTTTCATTGAGTTAGAGATAGCATCTATGCTAACACGGTACCTAATTCTAAAAACGCAAGCTAGACGTGTCTATAAACATTTAAATAATTGCATGGGGTATGTAATGTGATTTAATTCTCGACCGTGTTCAAAAGTTGGTTTGATGCACTTTTCTAATTTTCTAATTATAATACAATATAAATCCATTTGATGCACTTTTCTAATTATAATACAATATAAATCCACGCCCACGTAGTCGTATTCATCGTGTTATGTGTATTTTAATCATTGAAAAAGCCGAAAGTTTAAAATATGGGTTTTCCCCACATTATCACTATTATTTATTAATTAATCAATAGTTTTACGAACAGAACTGGTCAAACGGCTTAAGCTGTTTCTTTAAAATGTATATATGTATAATAAAATAAATGCTTTTATTAAACGTTTATAAGTGGCACCATTGTTTTTTTTTAAATGTCACTGTGATAATTGTCCTGTAATGGATTGACACCCTCTCCAGGTCTTACTTTGCTTTGGCCGCGAATTGCATTTTAAGTTTATTTGAGACACTGCACATGTCTTCAAATATTACATTTTCTGCATATACAGTACAATGTTTTTTGTATTGGTAAACTATACTCAATATGCCGATTTATATTACTAGGTTTTTTATATTACTATACATTACATTTAATTTTTAATTTATTTCCAGCTGGCAGAATGTTAAATGTTCTGCTTTCTTAAATGTTTTTTTTTCTTATTTATTTTTCTGTCCATGTCCAGACCAAGAGCTGAGGAATGTCATTGACAAGCTGGCCCAGTTTGTTGCCCGAAATGGGCCAGAGTTTGAGAAGATGACGATGGAGAAACAGAAGGACAATCCAAAGTTTTCCTTTCTCTTTGGTGGAGAGTACTTCAGCTACTACAAGTGCAAGCTCGCCATGGAACAACAGCAGCGTATGTAGTTGAAAGGACAGTCCTGAACTTGTTTGTCCAATAAAAGAAATGTCTGACCAGACAGTAATGGAATACTGTCTAAAAGATATTTTTCTTATTGCTGGTTTAGTACCTTCTATGTCAGTGTATTTCCCCATTTTGTTCACAGCAAATCCCAGTGCTCTGTAAGTTTGCACTGTGTTATTCTGTGAGTATCACTAATCTACTTTAGTGCATTAAAGTTTGCTTCTCTCTACTTAGATCCCCCTACCCACGAAGGGGAGGAGTATAAATCGGAAGGTATTTATTTGTAGCCAGATTTGTCCAATGAAAGATCTGCATTTGGAAAGTCACACTTGTTTTGTTAAAACTTAATTTGCTGGCTTTTCCATACCTATGCTTGATTGATTGTTTTTTAATTTGCAATTTCCATGTCAATCTTTTCTTTTTAATTTTTTTTTCCTGCACCGTTGATTTGAAGTTGAGCTACTTTAGAACACAGATAGATTTGTCTTAGTGGTAAAAGAGCAAATTAATTAACTTTAAAGCTGTCATTAAAATATCAACAGGCTGTTGTTGAGTAATTCTAATATTTCTGCCTCTGTCCTTGTTAATTGTGGTGTTTTCAAAGTCTAACCATCAAAGTCTACCTAATCTATCAATGTCTCAAATAACGCTGTTAGTTAGTGAGTTTCATCAGCAGTTGGTTGCATAATAAATGTCGGGCAACGAATGATCGCTTTCATGCTGATTGCATGTCTCTGAATTCTTTTTGCTGTTTTACTTTATTCTCTATTCATGTGCTTGCTGTTTGAATCTGTTACATCTTATTTGACCAAAATGATCCCTCACGATTTGAGAAAAAAAAAAAGGAATGCACATTTTTTTCTAAGGTGCCATATTTCAAACTACCATTCCAAACCAGCCATAAAAACAAAACAATTGTTGTCCCCGTGCTTCTTTTACAGACCTGTACAACCCAGAAGCCAAAGACTTAGTCATTCCTCCTCCACCGATGCCCATGATTACTCCACCACCTATTCCTCCACAAACCGCTCCCCCAATTGATGAGCTCATCCAGCAGAGTCAGTGGAACCTGCAGCAGCAGGAGCAGCATCTGCACTCACTCAGACAGGTACTCCAACCATTTTTAACAGTTGTTTCTCTTACTGTGTATCTTATGTTTTATGTCAGTTTCTCTGTGGATGCTCTCAGATGTCCACAGAGGGCTGATCTAATCAGTTAAAGATTGAAAGGCTGAACAATGATTGGTTGATGTCATTCACCTGATGATTTCTTTGGTCTCTGATGTTGCAGGAGCAGGTGACTGCAGCCATAGCTCTGGCCGTGGAGCAACAGACCCAGAAGCTCCTAGTAGAAACCCAGCTGGACATCACAGAGTTTGACAACCTGCTGCAGCCCATCATAGACACTTGTACTAAAGATGCCATATCTGTAAGTCTGGCATCAGGCATTTGTCGTTTTCTATTGTTAGAGAGAAAATATATCCTTATTTGTTTTTCTCTCAGGCTGGAAAGAATTGGATGTTCAACAACGCCAAGTCTGCACACCACTGTGAACTGATGACCTCACACCTGCGCAACCGCATCACCACTGAAGGGGCTCATTTTGAGCTCCGCCTGCATCTCATTTACTTAACCAATGATGTTCTTCATCACTGGTAAACAAACCTCAAACTGTGTTAATTTCCTCAAAAACTTTGTCAATAACCTTTCTGTCTTAAGTAAACAGGAACTTATGTGGGGCTGTAATAATTATACATTTGTCAACTATTAAAAACAAGACTTTTGCAATTAGTCAACAACATTTAATTTGAAGATAGTTTACCTTAAAACATGGTATTTTGTCATTTAGTTTACAAATTTAGCTTAATTAAAATTTAAATTGTCTTTTTTTAGTCAGCGAAAACAGCAGAAGGATTTGTTGGCAGCCATACAGAAAGTAGTGGTTCCCATCTACTGCACCAGCTTCCTGGCTGTGGAGGAGGAGAAGCAGCAGAAGATCACACGGGTAAATTAAAAAACTGACCTGAGGTCAGAGCTGTGGGGCTTTAAATTTAAGATGCCAACAATTTTTTTCTGTCTCGTCATTGTTCTGTTCACTCCCTGTTTCCCAGTTGCTGCAGCTTTGGGAAAAGAATGGATACTTTAACGATGAAACCATCCAACAGCTCCAGAATCCAGCCCTGGGCCTGGGCCAGTATCAGGTAAGTGAAAACTTGGGGGTAACAATGTTCCACCTAAAACTGAGCCTTCATACGCCCATTTAACAATGTTTCACCTAAAACTGAGCCTTCATACGCCCATGTACAGTCTTCCTGTCAGTCAAACAGGTTAGTGTGATTATATTGAAAACAGAGACCTTCTGTTGTTGCTTCACTTCTCATCAAGTGTTACCATGGCAACAACTCAGCAGATTGACATCTACACAAACTACAATTAAACATAAATGTGGAAGAATGATGAGATTAACCAAAATGTCCCCGGATGTGTCTCATCCTCATATGAATGTTATGACACTCATGAACTCTTCTTTGTCTCTCCTTCAGGCTTCTCTGATCACTGAGTACGCTGCCGTGGTTCAACCCATCCAGATGGCCTTCCAGCAGCAGATCCAGGCTCTGAAGAACCAGCACGAAGAGTTTGTGACCAGTCTGAAGCAGCAGCAGCCTCCAACTGCCACCGTGCCACAGATACCTGCCCCCAGTGAGACTGAGAAGGCTCCACCTATGACCACACCAGCCGGTGAGAAGACTGAGACATGTCAGAGACAGTCAACAGTCAGTCAGTGTGCAGGACATTCAGTTGACATAACCTGTGTTGGTATGTGTGTCTTGTTCAGGGGATGTGAAACCCCCCATGGCAGGTCCTCCAGGGGAATTTGATGGAGCGCCCTCTAGATCACAGGATCCTAATAATCCCAGTGGATCCTCAGATATTCCCTCCAGCAAGCCTGCATGGTATGACCCCCAGCACATGGGCCCCTGGACTCCCAACCAGCCAGTAAGAGCTCTGTTTTTATTTTATTATAAATTTACAAAATTTGATTAGGAATGTAAAAATCCCATATTGTTAACTTAATCTACCACCCCTCCACCCTCCACCCAGCCTCCTTTTGATCCAAACCAACCTCCCCCTCCTTGCCCACCCTGGAACAGCCATGAAGGAATGTGGAATGATCAGAGAGAGCCAGGTAACTGGAGTGGAGGTCCACCCAGAGAGGGAGCTCCCTGGAGTGGTCCAGGTGGTTCTGAACCTGGCCCTCCATCCTGGAACTCTTACGACCAGCAGCCACCTTGGGGGAATCAGCCTGATCAGCCACCCTGGGGCCAGAGAGAGCCGCCGTTTCCACCACGCATGCAGGTCTGTCTCCACCTGTTTGACTTTAGTCCCTTACTTTAACTGTTTATACTTTATTTATGTACGGACAGTTGAACATTTAGGTGAATGACTGTGTTTACCTTTTACATTTTTGCAGAGACCCCCCCACTTTAGAGGACCCTTTCCTCCCCACCAGCAGCCTCCTCCTTTCAATCAACCTCCCCCTCCACATAACTTCGGGCGCTTCCCTCCACGCTTCATGCAGGACGACTTCCCCCCCAGACACCACTACGACAGACCGCCGTACACACCGCATCGCTTCGAATACCCTCAGGGAGAGTTTCCTGGAGGTCAGTGCAGAAACACAATCAGCGATGACTCAGCATAAACTCTTCATCATTCATTCCTAAACACTGTCCGTCTCTCTGTCACAGAATTGCCTGGTCCTCCCCCTCCTCCACCTCCACCTCCTCCTCACCACCATCCCAACCAGAGGCTCCCTCCTCCTGGCATGGGGAGTGAGCATCCTCCATGGGGCGGAGCTCAGCACCCAGACTTTGGCCCACCTCCACCCGGCTTCAATGGACACTCGCCACATGTGCGCCATCGCCAGCCTCCCGTACAAGACGACCCCAGTCTGGTGCCGAATGTACCGTACTTTGACCTGCCTGCTGGTCTCATGGCTCCACTGGTCAAGGTAAGTCACCTGACCATGGTTAACAAAACGTTCAGAACTGTCGGTGGTCTGAACATTGTCAGTGACATATTCAGTGAAGAAGGATGTCGTGGAGAGAAGCATAGATTTACGATGGTCTCCTTAAACTCCTGTCTCTTCCTCAGCTGGAGGACTGTGATTATAAACCTCTGGACCCTAAAGACATCCGACTGCCTCCTCCCATGCCCCCCAGTGATCGACTGCTTGCTGCTGTTGAAGCTTTCTACAGCCCTCCCTCTCACGATAGGCCTCGGAACAGGTACGCACACACCCAAACACAGAGTGACAGACAAACATTTACCTGTGTTATGAGTCGTTGTGCGGAGGCAGACGCATGACAACGCCGCTTGTAAACACTGTCAAAATTGTATAACTGAGACTGGGATTTACTAAGCTTGAGGGTACCACCAGGGGGCACTGCAGGGCTTTTCATCATAATCATGTGGTTCTATTGTGTGCCGCCATCAGTGAAGGCTGGGAGCAGAACGGCCTGTATGAATTCTTCAGAGCCAAGATGAGAGCCAGGAGGAAGAAGGATCAGGAAAAACGCAACAGGTCAGCGAGGTCTCCACACAGAGATGAGAAATTCTCTTCTGTCTTCACCGGTCTTCGATTTGTGTCCTATATTCTGTTTGTTCACTTCTTCTCCCAGTGGACATGGAGCCACTCGTTCCAGGAGCCGTTCTCGCAGTAGAGGAAGATCAACGTCCCGTTCCAGCTCTCACTCCTCAAAGTCCTCCAGGTCACGGTCCCGATCCTCTCGTTCTCGCTCCCGTAGCCGCTTGCGCTCCTACTCTCGATCACGGTCTGCACATACACTCACATTCACTAGATGACAGAATAAATATCTGTGTCTACGAGTGACTTAACTTTACTCTGCCACTTCTGCATGTGTTTACCTGAAATCTTTCAGATCCAGGAGTGGATCCAGATCATCTCAGAGTCGCTCTCGCTCCAGATCCAGGTCACGTTCACCCACCAAGAGACGCCGTGGCGCCAAGTCACGTAGCTCCTCCCCTCCGTAAGTCCTGTAAATGTTTTAAATATCTGTTAAAGCCATACTCCTTGTAATTGTTCAGCACCTCCTCCTCTTCCCTCTACAGCTCTACGTCAGTCATGGCCGGTTCCTCCTCCTCCTCCTCCTCCAAAGGGTCTGGAGATGCCAGATTGGGGGAGGAGAACAAGGGGCATCAGCTGCTCATGAAGATGGGTGAGCATTCTCACACTGTGGAACTGCAGCTGAGTTCTCTGCTACCGACTGTTACCACTGTGATGTTTTCTGCTGCAGGTTGGAGCGGGTCAGGAGGTCTGGGTGCAAAAGAGCAGGGCATCCAGGACCCCATCAAAGGAGGTGACATCAGAGATAAATGGGACCAGTACAAAGGCGTGGGCGTCTCACTGGACGACCCGTACGAGAACTATCGCAGGAACAAGAGCTTCAACTTTGTGGCTCGTATGAAGGCACGAGAAGAAGGTGAGATGAAGAACAGGTCTCATCCTCACCTACAAAAGAACGTTTAACTGCAATAGTGTAAGAAAGAGTGGAAGAAAACAGGTACGCACACACCCAAACACAGAGTGACAGACAAACATTTACCTGTGTTATGAGTCGTTGTGCGGAGGCAGACGCATGACAACGCCGCTTGTAAACACTGTCAAAATTGTATAACTGAGACTGGGATTTACTAAGCTTGAGGGTACCACCAGGGGGCACTGCAGGGCTTTTCACCATAATCATGTGGTTCTATTGTGTGCCGCCATCAGTGAAGGCTGGGAGCAGAACGGCCTGTATGAATTCTTCAGAGCCAAGATGAGAGCCAGGAGGAAGAAGGATCAGGAAAAACGCAACAGGTCAGCGAGGTCTCCACACAGAGATGAGAAATTCTCTTCTGTCTTCACCGGTCTTCGATTTGTGTCCTATATTCTGTTTGTTCACTTCTTCTCCCAGTGGACATGGAGCCACTCGTTCCAGGAGCCGTTCTCGCAGTAGAGGAAGATCAACGTCCCGTTCCAGCTCTCACTCCTCAAAGTCCTCCAGGTCACGGTCCCGATCCTCTCGTTCTCGCTCCCGTAGCCGCTTGCGCTCCTACTCTCGATCACGGTCTGCACGTACACTCACATTCACTAGATGACAGAATAAATATCTGTGTCTACGAGTGACTTAACTTTACTCTGCCACTTCTGCATGTGTTTACCTGAAATCTTTCAGATCCAGGAGTGGATCCAGATCATCTCAGAGTCGCTCTCGCTCCAGATCCAGGTCACGTTCACCCACCAAGAGACGCCGTGGCGCCAAGTCACGTAGCTCCTCCCCTCCGTAAGTCCTGTAAATGTTTTAAATATCTGTTAAAGCCATACTCCTTGTAATTGTTCAGCACCTCCTCCTCTTCCCTCTACAGCTCTACGTCAGTCATGGCCGGTTCCTCCTCCTCCTCCTCCTCCAAAGGGTCTGGAGATGCCAGATTGGGGGAGGAGAACAAGGGGCATCAGCTGCTCATGAAGATGGGTGAGCATTCTCACACTGTGGAACTGCAGCTGAGTTCTCTGCTACCGACTGTTACCACTGTGATGTTTTCTGCTGCAGGTTGGAGCGGGTCAGGAGGTCTGGGTGCAAAAGAGCAGGGCATCCAGGACCCCATCAAAGGAGGTGACATCAGAGATAAATGGGACCAGTACAAAGGCGTGGGCGTCTCACTGGACGACCCGTACGAGAACTATCGCAGGAACAAGAGCTTCAACTTTGTGGCTCGTATGAAGGCACGAGAAGAAGGTGAGATGAAGAACAGGTCTCATCCTCACCTACAAAAGAACGTTTAACTGCAATAGTGTAAGAAAGAGAGTAAGAAATTATCCATACACTAAAATATCACAATACCGTATCAATATTCTCCATCAGTGTATGGATTTTTTATCACCAATTCCCAGTCAGATATTCCTGGTTTTGGTTCTTTTTATTTTTCTTTTCTTTCTTCTCTAGTCATTCCAAACAGATCCCTCTGTTCCAGTGTTAGTGACCTGATGTTAAGATGGAACAGCATTGTGTCTTTACTGTGATGACAGTTTTTCTTTTTTTTTCGATGTAGTGAATCGAGAACCACAGGAGGCTCCGCCCACTGAGTGATGTCACCAAACACTTTCTCTGGGACCTCCCTCTTCCCCCCAACCCTCAACAAGGATGTGAACTTTGACCTGGACTACAGTCGTCACTTCTCTATTCACGTTTCTCACATTGACGTCAGATACAACACAGAAGAAGAGGTGAGCGTTTTCTTCTTGGTTTTGTTAAAGTGTTGAACTGAACTGTGGACAGAACTGAGCACCAACTCATCAACAGTCTGTGAACTGACTCTGGAACTACAGTCTAAACACAAATTCGTTCTTATTGGTTTCAAAGTTGAATGTGATATACAGGTATAAATATATTTTCAACAAGTCTCAGACTTCTGATCTACTGATGGTGATTGGTCTCCACGTCCAATCACAGGACTAAACAAGTACCGTGGGAAAAAAACTTCACTAAGTGTGTTACGATATTTTACATTGGGATTTTTACTGTTTTCATTCCTCCGTCATTCAGGTAGTGACTTCAGCAAAAAAAAAAAAACTGAGAATTGTGTGTTTAAGAAAGAGAATTATTTTGCGTGAAGCCGTTGGACTGTTTATGTTTCACTGCTGTTTATTCTGATACATTTTCCTAGAGCTTTGCAGGTCTGTCATTTAGTAGTATGAAAATAATCACACTATTGACACAATGATCCTCAACATGAACGGCAGCAACAAAAAGTCATGAACTAAATAATAAACACAACTTCATTGGTTTGCTTTTCTCTAACTTTGTCTCTGACTGTAAATCCTGAGTGTTTGTGATTCACCACGTCAGGTGCATGAGGTCGTCTGTGCTTTTATTTGTTTGTGCTTCAAGTCTTCTTGTCTAAAGAGTTCCTGTTGAGTATCGTTAGTAACGGACCGGTAACTTGTCGCCTCATGGGGGCACTATTGTAAAAGGAATGGAAGCCGAGCAGCGCGTACAGTTGATGAATCAGTGAGTGAAGACTGGAGAAGCAAGAACAGACTCCAAAGTGTGTCTTTGTCTAGGCCATCTCCAACATTAATAAGGTCCAATAAATGTTTGGTTAAAATAATAGTTTTTTGTTCTGTTAGCAAAATTGTTAGTTTTGTAATGGTTGAAAAATCCAATCCTGCTCAGTTGACAAAAAAACGGTTATTGAAACCAGACACCGTTTGATGGCTAACATCTGTCTTGGAACTTTTTGACTTGTTTAGAGCTCAGTGAAATTTTCAGGAAACACTTGGATGTTGAACACAGAACTACCCCCCCCCCACCCCATTCCCACCACCTTTGCTGTCGAACTGTACTGATCCCATAATTGCAGTGTTTCTGACAAAAATAACAACCGACAGATTTGTTGACCATAAACAGGAGAAAAGAACGATGTTGGATTCAAAGGTTTGAAGTGAAACAGAAGCGACCGTCGGGGCCGTGGTGGGTTTAAACGCTAATGTTTATGAAAACACTTCATTGGAGACTGGAGGTCCAGGGCGCTGCAGAAGCCATGGTCTTCATCCATCACAGCAGTCAAACTGTGGACCCACTCCTGATCACGGGTTTGGATCCAGACTGTGAACAGTCGATGACAGAAGTGTTTTCTCAGATTTGGGTCGAGTGACGTTCTTTAACAGCTCAGGAAACTGGGCTGCACAGAGAGTTCAAACCAATAAATGTGATATTTATGCTGAGTCATTCTTTCAACATTCAATATATAAAATTGGTTGATCACATGACTTGTTGCAGGATGAGAAACAAAACTGAAAGATTTGTCCTCTGAGATCACAGAGGATTCACATAAATATACAGAACCAGGAAGAGTCGGGGTTTGGTTACGCTTGTTGTGAAATTTATAACAAACCAACAACAAAGATGTGAGAAAAGAGGAAAAACAGATGGGAATCTGTGGAAGAAAGAGTGGAGATTCTCCAGACCAGACCTGTTTGGATCCACTGCTCCATCTCTCTGGGTTTGATGACACACTGGGGACTGGTAGGTCGCTTCAGTTTGATTTTTACAGAGAGACAGAGTTCACCTTTTGTTTTGTTCCTTGTCTGTCTCAAGGGTCTTATCTTTAGAGTCCCCGGTTTATATTTGATGTTTTTTAATTTGTGTTGTCCTTTTGTTCGTTTTTTTTTTTTTAATTAACCAGTGAGCCTCATAAATGTTACTGCACCTTTAAGAAACAACAGTGGAAGCCAGGGGTCTGTTTTTTAAGACCAGCTCAGTGTTGTGTATATTGTGCAAAAGTTGTAGGCAGGTGTAGACATTCCCTCCCCTCTGCCACCTTGTAATGTGTTTTGTGAATTTCCGGTGTCTTCAGACGTTTGACCTGATATTGTGACAAACCTCGTCCTGGACAAATTCCCTGGTGTGTGTACAGATATGAAGTTGAACTAAAGGAAGTGGAGTCAGAGTCCACGTTGTACTGAAGAGGAAACAATGGTGTGAAGCCGAAGTGATGGAGCCGCTTCATTTGTTCCTCAGTCTGGAGGACTGGTCTGTCATCATCCTCCTCCGGCTTCTTACAATGAGCGTAATAATAAACTTCTGAGTCAGTTGTTGGGAGTTGAACCACAGACCTCCATCTCTTTGGTGGAGAAGCTTCAAGTAGGAGACGCTGCCTTCAATTAGCGCAGGACGTTTTCATCATGCTGAGGTCAGATCCTCCTCTAACGTGGCCGCGCTCACCTCACTGCCTTGACCTCAGCTAATGGCACCTTGTAAAGACAGAGACCAGCGTGGTGGGGTGGGGGCTGGGGGTGGGAGTGGGTGGCAGGAAAAGCCGCAGCTCTTCCAAAAATAGCATCGTGGCCTTGGTTCATTGAAGGCATCATTAGAGAGACGTTGTCATTAGCTGCTGCCAAGCCTGCTATTACTGAGAGATCACTGGTGACGAGGAGCTATTATGTGGCCTGAGGCAAGACCCCCGAGGTCCCTGCTGGTACCACACACACATACACACACATACACACACAGACATGAAGGGAGAACGTCTGCAGGCTGCTGTTATTAAAGGCTGCACAAGTGTTTAAGAACAGGATCTGTGTGTGTGTGTGTGTGTGTGTGTGTGTGTGTGTCTTTACCATTATTGGCAATATGGTGAACAAATGTTTTTGTTTTTCTATATTTACTGTCTTAATTACACGGCGGTGAAAAAACAGTGCCAGTCTAACACACACACACACACACACACACACGAACCCTCAGCCCTCACTGATGATGAATAGCTGAGCTGAGTGTGTAAAAGTTAAGTGTTAAAGTGTGTGTACGTGTGTGATTTTTACTGCTGACAGATTATAAGTCACACACGACCTCCTGGCTTTTATCACTCCATCCATCCATTCATTCATTTATTTATTCTTTCTTTCATCAGTTTCTTGTCTCAGCAGTTGATAATTGTTGACATGTTTTCGTCACCTTTTTTTCCCCCAATGACTAAATTTAAAGTCAGTAAAATAAGCAAACTCATAAAATCATAAATGTGTGTCTTGACAGAGATCAAACTGTGTGTATGTGTTAGTGCAGTTGCTCTCCTTCAGTTCACTCTAAAATGTCATAGAAATCACTAGTCCATTATCTGCAGTTGTATTGATGAGTCATTGACACCTGGTCAACTCTATGACCAGTGCGTTCAGCAGCAGCCGTTGATCTCAGATCTGATTTTTTCCCTCATTCCATCTGTAGTTTATCAAACACGAGGATGGCGCTGAATAGCTTTATTTCACTGTGGGTAGGGGTGGGAGGTGGGGGAGGTGGGGGTCTCCACTGTGACTGGACGGATGTGGCATTAACTTCCTCTGACACTGGGAGTCAATGGATCAGCGAGGTCGGGGGGAGGCGGCACTTCTGCATGATGATTGGATGTGGTGTTGGAGGACTTTAGTCAGTGGACCATCATCCGTGTTTGCCTGGTGAAGAACAAGGTTTTCATCTGTTTATACAGTGGAGAGAACTGTTCACTTTCGTCACAGAAAAACAGAATTTGGATTTAAATAATTTGAACTTCAATGATGTCCCACAGACGTGTGTTAAGTACTAATAATGTTGACTTTGTATTGAAGTTCTCCCTCGGTTTGCTGGTTTGGCAGGTTGTCGGTTCTGTCTGAACAACATCATTAAAAACTGATTTAACCCAGGACAAATAGTTCTGGGTTCTCTTTGAAGCCACCAAGTCATCAGGAAGACAAAAACCACCGGTCAGATTTATCTGTGCACAGAGACAAGTACAAACACACCATTTAAAGAAACTTGACCAGAGCAGTTTTTTTTTATGATCAACAGTGCAGAGAACTTTCTTCTGGTCCCTGTAGATAAATATTCCTGTCGTGTTAAAGGGCCTAATTTCCCAGAGCTGAAAATCATCCGCCTCCATATGGAACAGATAAAAATATCATCTGTATTTAAGTGATGTGAGTTGTTCTGTGGGAGGACATTTATTCAGTGTCACATCTCCGCACCGCTGGAACTTCCTGAGCCATCGGTTCCAGCTTTTCATCTCCAGCAAAGATTTAGGGGACGGTTCTTCTTCCTGCTCTTTCTCACTGTCATTCCTGGTCAACGATCCGTCTCGGTCTCCGTGCGGTTTTCTGTTGTGTCGTTGGTCTCACTGTTGATGTGTCTCATTGTGTCTCACTCCGCTCCGGTCCATTCTTCCTCAGCCTGAGGTCTCCATTCATGTCCCCCGCCCCTGTCTTTACTTTTCATGACATCTGCATTTGACTTTGGCACAAAGGCCTGGGATGGCAGTGAGGTCGGCGTAATCACAGAACAGACTCCAGTTGTGTTTACTGCACAGACACTTTGACAGTGTGGTCTCTGTGTGTCATTATGTCCGTGTTGTTTCGTCTCCTGGTGCCGTGGAGAAACACTTTCCTAGAATAACTGCCGTTTGTTTGTCGCTTCCTCCACAGAGATTTATTCATCTTTGTGGTTTTCTGCAGGAACTCTTCAAACTGTCACAGACAAAGAAAATATTTGTTTATACATATATGTGTCGTCAGTACAGTAGTCCTGTAGATATGTCTGTATTTGTGTCAGTGAATCGTGTGGATGTGATAACGTATAGAAACGTAAAAGTTGATGTTGATCAGAGACGATCACGGATGAAGATTAAACACATTGAACCTGTGACTCAGTGACTCCTGACGTCGGTCTCCGCTCTCTGTCTCCGCTCTCTGTCTCCGCTCTCTGTCTCCGTTCTCTGTCTCCGCTCTCTGCCTCCTGGTTGGTTTATGTGTTTTTTGTTTGTGGATTCTTTATTTACAGCATTTCTTCAACCAGTTGTAAAATATTTCACAGTTTTCCCCGTGTTTGTTTTCCTCGCATTAAAAAAAAGAATTCCTAGGATGGTGCTGTTTGAAAACATTGTAGTGGTTGGAACGTTTATTAACATTAATTATCAGCGGGTTTCAAGTCAACAACAGTTTCTTTAGCTGTGGTGAAGAAATAAACAGTCAGCCGAGGTTGTTTTTCACACTGATTGGCAGACGCGTGGCATTTTGATTAGTCAAGACGTGGACAGAACGCCAAGTCCTATCACCGCAGCTCAGTTAGAGTCGCTTAGGAGGTTGGAATTTTTTCCAAACCTCGACTTCTTCTCTCCATCTGTGCAGCACCTGCACTCAGAGGTGCAACGTTTCCACCCAGGCCATAATCACCTCATTACTGCAGTGGCAGAGCTGAGGCTTCTTCAAACCACTGCACTGTGTGGAGTCGACTAGTGAAGTGAACAGAGGTCTCTGTGTGTGTGTCAGAGCAGAGCTGCTGATCCTGGGTCTGCTCTGGACCACTCTGGCCCTGCAGCTGAGGTGGACCAACAGGTCTGGGACGGATTTTAATTATTTATTTTTTTTTTTTTTTACTTGATTCATGATGCAAAGGTACAGCCCTAATGGACAGTGCAGAAAGAAGGTGAAGAAAAGGGTGCAGTCAGGATGGAGTGGATGGAGACGAGGGTCAGAGATGAACTGTGACAGGAAGTGTTCTGTCTGGTTCTGTCTTAGAACAGTCTGTGTCGACTGTGTCTGAGGAACTCTGGTGTGTGTGTGTGTGTGTGTTTGTTTTTAGTCATTA